TATCTGTCTATGTTCTCCCATCTCCTTGTATCTGCTGCTAACTTACAGATGTCCTATCAGTTCTTTATACTAAACCTATCAAAAACTGATCTTTAAATCAAAACTCTTTTCTCCCCCCCTATTTCCCTGCAGAAGTAACACCAACAATTAGTCTAGAGGAGCCCCCAGGGAGTGGCTCCATAACCAGGAGTAGGATAATACCTTGCTACATTTACATACATTTCCAGTGCCTGAAGAGAGGATGTATTCTTTCTCCTAATTCTGTATTTGCATTTGGTGTAGCAATCTGTAATATGAATTACTGAGTTTAGTCTTTATGTAATACAATATTCATTTCAGAGTAAATGGCAATGAAGATCTTTTTGTTTAGTTGAAGAAGTTATGGCTGTATTTTGAAAGCATTAGCATTTTCCAGCATTCTCGAAGGTATTCTTTCCACAACAGAAATTTGGACTTGCTCTTAGGAAGGGATGAGCATTCATTAAAAGAAGTCAGGCAGGGGTACCTCAGCACACTCAGTATCAGGTCCTTAGGCTATAGTCCAGTGACTGATTTTGAGTGTATAGGTGATTTCCATTTCATGAGATTCAAAGTTTGGAATTCCATCCGCTTTGTTTCTTAATAAATGTCAAGCTGAAACATATGATTGTCTGATAGACCACTTTCCACTGAAGCATTATAGATTATGGTTTCTTTCACAGTCTGTTTCCAATATTGATAAACAGATGAATGGAGGACCTTCAGGAGAAGAAGGGGAACTACCAAATTACACAGATGAGGGGAGAATTTCTATGGCAACCCTGCTTAGAGTGTTCCAACATGAAGGAAGTAAAGATGAGGACAATAATAGATTTAGTGATCTGCAAAAAGAAAGCAGTTACAATAAGGTGGGTTGGTTAATTTCAAGAAAGATCTTCATATTTCATTAGAAAGAAAACAACATGTAAATGAATTATCAGAATGTAAAATATTTAATGGCACATTTTAAAATTAATATTTTAACTTCTCAGCAAAAATGTGTTTTAGAAATGCTTACTCTGATATTTGCTTTTCCAGTCATTCTTTTTCAATTTTCCTAATAAATAAAGCAAGAATCATTTCTTTTTTTAAAAGAATTTCATAAAAATCTTCAAGGAACTGGGCTCTGAGGACCTGAAACCCATTCCTATTACACTTCTTTTGAAACATCCATTCATTCAAGACTTAATCAAAACTTATCAAGAATACACACTCCCTGTAAGTATCTTTTTTCTGAGAACAAAGCTCTAGAATTTATATTGTTATAGATATATAAATGTGATTATATGAAATGTTTCATATTCACAGGTATAGACTCTTGGGCTAGGGACAGAAGTTACACATGAACTGGTTTAAGCGATCAGAAACCTGTTTAAACCTGTAACAAAACAGAAATTCAGTGCATATAAACCACTTTCAAACTGGCCGAAACTGGTTTCAGATAAACCTGGTTGAATGTAGACTCGACTGATTTTGGTCAAACTGGTTTACGGAACTTCTGTCCCAGACCTTATCCTGGTTTAAGTTAACTCACAGTCCCCCAGCATCCCAGGATGCTCTGCAGCCCTGAGCTGGACTGGGTTGGGAGAGCAGGGTTGGCCCCACCCCTCTCCTCCCTAGGCAGAGCACTATCATTGCTCTGGATGGCTGAGAAAGGGGATGGGAAAAGTCACAGGGGGTGTGGCCAGATATACTGGAGACAAAGGAGGGAAGAGGAGGGTTTGGCTAGTGTTGTCATGGGCAGAAGCAGAGGGGAGGCAGGCAGGGGGAGCGATGCCCATGGAGGGATCCCAGCTCTGCCCCCCTCTGTGACGCAACAATGGGGAGAAAGTGGGGTGTTCGGAAGCAGGTGCTGGCCCCGGGGGCACTTGCTGAGTGGCTTCTCTTCCCACCGGGGCCATTCCTGGGCCCAGGCCCAGTGCAGGGCGGGTGTCCCTCGGGGAGGGGAAAGCAGTGGCACCGATCAGGAGACAAGCGGGGATCCCTCTTCCCGAACCCCTTCTCCTGACTCTGCCTGAGTCACTCTCACCAACTTCTGGAGAGCCACGGCTGTCACTGGGGAAGTTGCCAGCGTTCACCCGCAGAGTTATCAGGCACTGCAGCTGCCGGATCGCAGCCTCCTCTTTCAAACCACCCAACCTAGGCGGCCTACATAGGGGAAGGGTCACAACCCCTGCTCATGGCTGTGGGAAGCCAGTGGGGCAGGGAAGGCAGAGAGCAGGGGCTGTGCGCTCCACTGGGCCCTGCTTCACTTCATGGGTGGTGGGAATGTGACCCTCGGCTTCATGCAGCCCCTTGTGCATGTCCCAGTGCAGAGGTAACTGTCCTGGCAGGGAAACAGACTCTGGACCTTTCCCCCTTTTCTTTCTGAAGTAGAACAGGGGCCTGAAACACTCCATTCTTGGAGGAAGAGCACAGGGGGCTCCTCTCTAGGTCAGGTCACGGAATCCTAGAGGAGTGAGGCTGGGAGGGACCTGCAGGGGTCGCATCTAGCCCAGCCCCTGCCTGAGGCAGGAGCATTCATGTCCAGACCATCCTGTACACACCCATACTCTAAGCTCTATTTAAGATGACCAGCAGTCCTGACAAAAGGTTTCCCCGCGACAGATGCTTGAGCAGGAATAGTCAGGCAGGCCCCGGCTGTGGACCCTGCAGGTCAGTGTCGGGGTTTAAACCCATCGGCCGGCATCCGAGATGATGCTCAGGGGCAATCAGCATGGATTTATTAGGGGGAGATCATGTCAGACCAACCTGATTGCCTTTTATGATCAGGTCACAAAGGCCATGGATGCAGGTGTCGCGGTGGATGTAGTCTTTCTGGACTTCAGCAAGGCCTTTGACACCGTCTCTCACCCCATCCTAATTAATAAACTAGGCGACTGTGGCACAGATGCCTACACGGTCAGATGGATTGCAGATTGGCTGAAGGGTCGCACTCAGAGGGTGGTGGTGGATGGATCATATTCGACTTGGGGGGAGGTGGGTAGTGGAGTCCCCCAGGGCTCGGTCCTGGGCCCTGCGCTGTTCAATTTCTTCATCAGCGATCTTGATGTTGGGGTGGAGAGCAACCTGTTTAAATTCGCTGATGACACCAAAATTTGGGGGGAGGTGAGCACGCTAGCAGGGAGAGAGAGATTGCAGAAGGATCTGGATAGGTTACAGGGGTGGGCAGACAGGAACAGGATGCGTTTCAATACGGACAAGTGCAGGGTGCTGCACTTGGGTAGTAGGAACCAGCAGCACACTTATACGATGGGGAACTCCCTACTTGAGAGCACGGAGGCGGAAAGGGATCTTGGTGTCATTATTGACTCCAAGATGAACATGGGCCGACAATGCGAGGTCATGGTTGGCAGGGCTAACCGGACCTTGTCGTGCATCCACAGGTGCATCTCGAGTAGAGCCAGGGAGGTGATCCTCCCCCTCTATGCGACGCTGGTCAGGCCGCAGCTGGAGTATTGTGTCCAGTTCTGTGCGCCCCATTTCAGGAGGGATGTGGACAACATGGAGAGGGTCCAGAGGAGGGCCACCCGCATGATCCGGGGACAACAGGGCAGACCCTACAGTGAGAGACTGCGGGACTTGAACCTATTCAGCCTCCACAAGAGAAGGCTGAGGGGGGACCTGGTGACCGTCTATAAACTCACTAGGGGGAACCAGAAGGGTTTGGGGGAGACGCTGTTTCCCCTAGCCCCCGCTGGCATAACAAGGAGTAATGGGCACAAGTTGATGGAGAGGAGGTACAGATTGGACATCCGAAAAAACTACTTCACAGTTAGGGCGGCTAGGAGCTGGAACCAACTTCCAAGGGAGGTGGTGCTGGCCCCTACCCTGGGGATCTTTAAGAAGAGGCTGGATACTTACCTGGCTGGACTCATTTGAGTCCCGTTTTTGTTTTTAGGGTGAGTGGTTTTGTTTGTGTTTTTTGGGTTGTTCTCCCGCCCTGGCGGGGGGTCGGGCTAGAAAATCTATTAGGTCCCTTCCGACCCTGAAACTATGAAACTATGAAACATCCCCAGTTATACTCAGCAGCTTGCCAGGGCCTGGCCATCCCCTCCCTCCCCAGCCAGTTTCCCTCCAGCCTTGCGGCTGCTGCAAGAGGGAAGGGAGGGCTCATTCTAGCGCCCTCTGGCTTCTAGCCTGAGCCACCGCAGGCATGTGCCTGCATTTCTGGAATCAAAAGTGAATGTTTATTCACTTGCTTCTCGATTCAATCTATGCAGGTTGTTGGTATGTGCACCCCTCCCCCCCACAGACACACCTGGATTGGGCCCACCAGTCAGGTCCAGCCTGGCACCACTCATCTGATTCACGGGGCAGAAAGTTTGGGCACCACTTCTCTAGCTAAATGAACTTTGAGTTGTTCAGGAATAGTTATTACTTTTAATCCATGCCTTCCCTTAAAATGGATTAACTTTAAAAAGTAGCGAAGTCCTCATTGATCTGGTGCTAATCCCTGGAATAGATGTGCTGCAGCACTCTAAAAGTATCTTTCATCAATGCAGCTCCCATCTCAGTAGTAACACCAGTGCACAACACCTACATAGACATAGTTTAAGGTAACCAAGGCTTTTACTTTGATAAATACCATTTTGGGTAAGATAGCATCAGGAGGCAAGGCTGCTTCTTCCTATCAGTAATGAAATATACAGCTTCCAACATTCACATCATGACAAGATTGTCACTGTACTGATAGAGAGGTCTAGAGAGGGCAGCCCACCCTTTGAAAAGCAGACACACCCACTTTGTTTGTAGTTTTTGATTAGAATAAATTTTATTTTTATTTTCCTCATGTGCCCATTTCTTCCTATTTTATAAGATTTCCACCAGCTGTAATGCTTTTTAGCTCTTTCATGGATTCACCCCAAAACCAAATTGCCTTAAGGGTTCACCATGTGGCATGCAAAATATTCTCCCAAATTAGAATTATTTCTGTGGTGTTTGGTATCTACCATAATTACTTGAATACAAGATTCCCCCCCCACCCCCCCAACTAGATTCTATACAGTAAAATCACTGTTATCTGGCATCCCCAGGGTAAAAATATAAAAACCCTGGTTATCTGAAATAACCTGGCAGGAGCAGCAGCAGCACAGGGTGGTGTGTGGCAGTTGCGGCCACCTGTGAACTCCCACCCCCCACCCCCTTGCGTCCAGCTGGCAAAGCTGGGTGGTGTGGGGGTGGTGGCGGCCACACGCGGAGTGGTGGTAGCGCAGGGTGGTGGGTGGTGACAGCACCCGCTGCATGTGAGCTCCCTCCTATGTGTGGCTGGCTGGCCGGCCAGAAACTCTGGTTAATGAAGTATTCCAGTATTCCGATTTGTCAAGTACCAGATAGCAGAGATTTTATTGTATACGGAAAAATTATAAATTTGTTATAATTTTCCAGGTATAGAATCTACTTATTGGAGGTTTACATTGATTTTGTCCTGTCCTAGAGGCACAGGATCAGACAAGGGGGAAGCCTCATTCTGAGGCAAACCCCAGACCAAGGTAAAAGAAGAAAAAAAATACCTATTACAGGGGTCTGGAGGACCGAGGAAGCACACGGTGGAAAACTGCCCGGGCGGTTTATCAGCCACGCCCATCTCCAGCTGGACTAGGGTGACATCATGAAGAGACGCCACCCGGTGAAGATAAAATCAGCCCCAAAAGTGCGGGAGAGAGGACACCGAGGACTGGAGGAGCGGCGGGGAACCGTGGGGCAGAGAGTATCCAGCCAGTGTGATCGGCAGTGGAGGCAGCGACACCTGGAGCTGCAAGAGATCCCTGAGCTGGAGAAGACCGGCAGGGATCAAAGGAGCTGGCAGGGAGGCCAGCGGCGGCGGCAGCAGCAGCCGGAGCCTCAAGAGATCCCCGAGCCAGGGAAGACCAGCAGGGACCGAAGGAGCCAGCAGGGAGGCTGGCAGAGGCAGCAATAGCAGGAGCTGCAAGGGGTCCCCATGCCGGAGACGACCGGCGGGGATCAGAGGAACCGTCAGAGAGGCCGGCAGTGGCTACAGCGAAAGCCAGCGTGGGAACTCCCATCAAAGGCAACAGGTGCCGTGGCTCCAGGGCAGAGGCGGGTCCTGGAGGGGAGGAGAGAGACCCCAGCTGGGGTGAAGGCAGGGACCCTGACCCAGAGGGCACGCTAGCCTAGGGGCTAGGAAAGTACAGGACTCTCCCCGTGGGTACTCCTCTTTTTTGTTCTCCCTTTTGTCGCAATTCTCTGGTAGTCAT